AACTCCGCATACCAGAAGATCGTCTGCATCACCTAGGCTCTTTTTTTGGCCTAGACCTGTGCTGAGTGGGAGCGACCGAGAGATGTACGATGTATGACCTGGCAACGAGTTATGAAAATACTAACCAGCAAACTGAGTAGGGTCGACAACTGCCGCCTCCCCGTTTACGGACTCCAGGACTGAACTCATCAATGGCTAATGAAACTGGTAGAAATGGCCTAATCACATAGTCAATGGCGCTCGTGCATCAAAACTATCGCCTTCCAATGCATAACCCTCCAATGTCTGAGCAAACTGAACATGTCATCGCTTGGCTGTATGCCCCACACTGCCGTTTTCCGGCTATTGGAACTGTAACAGCTGGAACCAATGCACCTATGGTACCCGGTTTATAGCTGATTAGCTTAATTGAAATCTAGCACCTGTCCTAAGCGTGATTTGATAATAATCGTTCAGCTGTAACACCCTTTCGGTGCCCAGTTGCCGTGCCGCTCGAAGAAAGCACGAGGGCTAGGGTGCTGCCAGGGGAAGTCGAGATGCAATGGTCGGATTCGAACTACGGATCTTCCGGGCAGTAAAATCTCGCTCTGACCAATGAACCATCCCACGCATGAAGGAAAACCGTCTGTACTCTGATTCGTGAATGGAGTTCTATTGCTGTCTGACCTATGTATTTGGCCGGATATTCTGCACAGGGAATCTGTTAGACGCAGTTTGTGCAGTGTCTCTTTTCGATAGCGTCTTTTACCCTTACAGGGTGTCGGGAGGATGTTTTACTATCATACTCCCAAAGTATCTTACGAATGGTATCTTTGATGTCATTTCTAAGGGTATTCCCACCTGGTTTTCGTTTCCCTGTCCCACCCTTTCGCATAGTGTTCTCCCCCATTTGTTTGCTAATGAACCCTATGGGTGTTTATTTTTCTGTTACACCTTACTGAGTCGTTTCAGTTCATCTTTTAGTGTGTGAGATCATCCCAGCATGTTTCAATGACTCGATTAATCAACAATCCGACAGCTGCGCGTTCGGATTAGCTTGGATGCGAAGACCCATGGTGCGAGTATCTGTCTGATTCTGTGGGTTTTTTGGAAATTCTATCGTGAATTGTTCGTTCAAGAGGTTTGGATAAGTTCATCGTTGTGCGGCTGATAGGATCTCAAATATGCCGTCAACGCCTCTCAACCAGATGCGTAATGAATGGCTTAGCTTTAACTTGGTGTAAGTAAAGAGTAACCACTATGGGTGGTACTAGAATACACGATGACACACTCAAATAACGCCGCACCTCGCCATCGTATTTGACTGATTGTAAAAATCCTTGAAAAAGGTTACCTCCGGCAACCGAAACGTCGGGTTAGAACGTCGTATCCCACTACCCTGTGTTTTGACTTTCGACTTTCCATATTATACACTTCATGTCGCTCAATCCTAGTCGAGTTTGGAGCAGAACTCCTGACAGTATAAAGCGTTTTTCCATCCTACCAAAATCCACGCATGATAAACAAAGTAGTCATGCCTTATAAGCACAAGAACGGGGAAACCGGTCTTGGGCTGATGACGAGTTTTCAGGAACTCCGTGTGTAGTAGTTCTCTTGAAGTCATCTATTTGTCTTTTCTCAGGAGAACATTCTGTGATTGGTGAATTTCTGACATTCATAAACTTCTTTCGACAGTTCGGTCTGATCTGATGTATTCTATTTCATTGTCACATTCACAGAATCAAACTGTTACACCTCCTCACCTTGTGGCTATCAGTCTATGTAGACTTGGTGCCAGACGGAACTGGTCAGCTCACTCCAAGTCTGTTCGGCCTAATGGCACATTCAGCACGAGCTTGCCTCAAACGCGCTCCGATCAATATGCACGAAGACGTGTGCCCACGGGCCACTCAAATGCGTCTAGGCTTATTGGCGCGATTGGCCATCTGTCCTGGTTACTGGTAAGTCGGGGTGAAAATCCTCAACTCACTATTTTCGTTTTCGTTGTCAGGCGAGTCATCTCTCTGTGTTCTGTGTCCTTTGTACGTTCTTGGTCCCTCAAGTCGGTGGTCGCGACACCGGTGCCTAACTGCCATGCCACCCGAAAGAAGCACTAAGGCTGAGATACTGCCAGGTTACCCAAGCCTAGACTGGGGAAGTCGAGAGGCTGAGGTCGGGTTCGAACCACGGAAGTTCGGTCAGTAAATTCGCGCTCTAACCACTTGGACAATCTCAAGGGTAAAAGGTGTAATATGCTGAGGATATTTTGATCGATACCGTGCGCACATGATCAAAGTGCTTTCAGTGACCAGTGGTTAGAGCACCAACTTAGTGACCAGAAGGTCCGTGATTCGAACCCGACCTCTGCATCGCGACTTCCCCTTTCTAGGTAGTATCCCAGCCGTCTGGTGTCATGGCATTTAGGCGCCCAAAGGTTGTTGCAGATCAGGTTGTTGCGCCCAGACAGAAAAAAGCACATGTGCAGAGAGTGACGCATCCCCAAGGTCACCGTCGGTACGACACGTCCGGAAAGTAGGTGAGTTTGCGGCTCTCACCAAACACGGCTTAGCAACATACGACCAGCGTACTGGGCCTGAAATTGTTCACGACCGGAACACCACCATTCGTTGTACGGAGCGAACAAGTGAACGACCATATTTGGCCATTTAGTCATCCTATATATTACGCAGACGCTCTGTATGTTTTATCCCGGTAATACAGCCGTCCCCAGTTCTCTGGGCTCAGTGCAGGCGTAATCAATAGACGACCACCCACGGTACAACAAGTTAAGTCCTCTCAAACGACGGCTTTTTGAATGCCAAGATTTTTACAAATGTTAAGTCTGTTTGTAGATAACTGTTTTGACCCGAAGCTACCGATTGGACAGTCCATGGGTCGATCCCTCCTTCCTAGGCCTGGGCATCGTGACTGTACCCCAAACCTCGTGTTTCCTTTGGGTTTCCTCCCATTTCGTTTACTGACTACAGGTTACGAACGCCAATCGATCGATCAATCAGTCGACTGAAATTAGCGTAGTTTCTCGTCGGTCAAGTTCCCAGGTACTGGTAGTTTTTTTATTGAGCTCTAACCTTCCACGGTATTGGTTCAATCCAAAACTGACCTAACATGTCTCTGGCTTATCTCAGTATGAGTTGGAAACTACTCACTGGGTAAGACGTTAACTTACTGGCCGGAAGGTCAGTGGTTCGATCCCAACCCCAGACTGTTGGCTGCCTCTGTCTGAACTTGCGAACCTGGCACTATATCATTTCTGCTGCTTCCCTGGGTCCCCATAGCAGCTGGATACGGAAAGGGTGTTACGGCCTAATGGTTATTACGGTTACTACCAGTATACAGCAGAGCCCCATAAGAAGCATCTTTGGGTATACCGAAATTACATTGAGGGGTCTTACGAGAACCTTTTTTCGTGAAGGAAACCTGTCAGCCTGGAAGAATGACACATCGTTTAAACGAGGACGTTAATTCTCATCGATTATTTAAGCATAACACACAGACTACGAAATGGAAATCGATTTGTGGAAACTGAATTCCTCGTGACTGCATCTGAATTGTCACAGACATGCACAGAATTTCGGAGTAATCTCATTTTACTTGTTTAGATATCACCACTGTCAACTGACTGCGGTCTACTATGGCCATTGATTTGTTCTCTGGGGGGCGAGATGGTCCAAGTGGTTAGAGCGCGAATTTACTGACCGGAGACTTCGTGGTTCGAACCCAAACTCGGCCTCTCGACTTCCCCTGTCTAGGCTTGGGAAACCTGACAGTATCTCAACCCTCGTGCTTTCTTCGCGTGGCATGGCAGTTAGGCACTGGAAGGGTGTTACAGCTGGGAGGATTTGTTCTCTGAGCTGAGCCGTCTGGTTGCAAGCGTTTCATCCCTAGTTGAGGTGATGGGTGAGTGAAAGTGCGTACATGTGCTGGATAATTCCAGCGAATAAATCAGAAGCCACCAGAGGGGGGTATGCTTGAAGAGTGCGACTGACTGTAAGGTATCCATTGCAGTTCAGTGAGGAGCAAGTATTCATTCCTTTTTCAAGATTGAAATGTTCATTTGGATAACAGTTTCGAAAACAGGTGTTTGACAATCGTTGTCTCAGAACCATAGCTCGTGTGGGTTGGTGTCGGCCAATCTGTAACGAGTCAATTAGAAAGCGAATATTCGGTTGTAAGTTGAAGGAGCACCAGAAGCTGCGTTGGTTGGGACCTGTGTTCCGTATGCTGAACCATCGTTTGCCGAAAAGAGTGCTGTTTTCCATACCCAACTCAGAGAGGCGGCTAACCCTTGACCTGGCAGAGGGGTATGAAGGAGATTACGAAATGTTTGAGTGCGTTCGGTGCTACTCGGCTTCCAGGACGGGAACCGCATAATCCCCACTGAACCTGGTTGTAGACGATTCAAGATGTGGCCGCCATTCGACGTCAGTGGCATTCTTGTTGTCAGTTTCTTTGTAGATTGCATGAATGAGTGTCTGGAGGTATAGGCACCTCAGAATGATTGTGTTGGGCTAGTACTAAGTCCCTCCCCCGTCCACCTTTACTCTTTTCTTTACAATAAGGCTTTCCAATAAATCATGGTTAAACGGTAGTGAAGCATTGGTGTTGAATACTGATGTCATGCTGTCAGTGATGATGACTATCGGTTACCACAAGCGTGGGAGCTGATATGCCCCGGACGCCAACTAGGTCCGTCACGACATTGTAAAGTTTCACTTTATGTGCACTTCATGTCCCGCTGCTGAGATTCACTCAAGAAAATGCCAACCCTGCTCAGTTGACCTCATTCCTCACCGGAACAAAAAGTAAAATCGGCGTTAACCCTAGAAGATTCTATTTAGAATTTCTTTTCAGTTTTAATTTTCCTATGCTAATAGCTCCCCCGCTCTTTTCAATCACTGTTCATCGCCTGGTGTCGCCATTCGCCAAGTCAAATGTCAGCATCTCCAGCCGTAAAAACCGCCCATTTGTTGCGATGAAGTTATACCTGCCAAAGTTTCGTTTCCCAGGATTTAGGAGTGGTTAGCTACGCATTTTACGCGGCGTTTATTATATAATATATGCTTGAATACATGGGTGTCCATGAAAGGGTTGAGATACTGCCAGTTTGCCCAATCCCTGATGCAAGCAGTCGAGATGCCGAGGATGAGTTCGGACCACGGATAGTAAGTTCGCGCCCTAATCACCTGGCTACGTATTTCGACTTTATCGACCAGTATCCAGTACTGCTGGTCATCCAGCGAGACTTCTGTGAGCACAAACACGGTTCTGCTCACAACGACGCAACGCCTATCTGCTGCGCACTGATGCCACCATCTCAACTGGTGACGAAATGTTCGCAATCAAATTGCCAAATCGCCAGCCATACTGTCGTCTGATGAATGCAATCAATGCATCTAGTGGGAATCTCAAGCACAATACAATCATTGGTGGACTGTCCAATTGAGTCCAACAGAATGTGTATTCGACTGGCATGTATATTTTTTCTTAGCCAGAACGAACTCCGCAGACGTTATTTTCGGATAATCGATCGACCGTGGTGTTCGCATCTCCCTCGCGCATTCACCAACCATCAACAATACGTAGACAACTGTAGAATATTTTGAACTTGCTCACGTCGATCCCCCGAAGCTCCAGGTTTATCGGTTCCTCCAAGCAACCAGATGCTAGGCATTCGGCAATAAACCTTGTACTTACAAGGGCCCAGCCTTGGTCAATCGGTTACTGTTAGGCCTTCGCAAGTCAGCCAATCCTTCTTACTCGAGTTCGATCGCTCTCTTAGCCTACCACTGTTGAATACGACAACCGTATTCCTGATATGTGGTACTACATCTAACTTAACCTCATGGCGATTCCCCAATTCATTTTCTTCATCATCATCAATAGCATGACATCAGTGTGGCGATTCCCCATTTTCTTCATCATCATCAATAGCATGACATCAGTGTTCAACACCGATGGTTCACTGCCCTACAACCATGATTTATTTGATTTGAATCTTGTAAAGAAAAGAGTAAAGGTGGACGGGGGAGGGACTTAGTGCTAGCTTACCACAATCATTCCGAGGTG